ATTTATGGTGACCCGATGAACAAGAGGTCTGAAGTCCCTCTACAACTATTAACATTTTTCAAAGTTCATAGAGTTTCCAGGGAATACTCTCTCTTATCCTAGTCCCATAGCTGTTGATGATGTAAAGCATGTTCATTTGTAAAACTATATGTCTGTAGTTAAAGTATCTGGAGAACGAAGACTATACTGACTTCAAAAAGCCAACTTTTAGGCTAACACTGCAGCACCTTTTTTAAAGCTATAAATCTCAATGGGATGAGACAGACTATCTATCTCCCAGGAGCCTCTGATAAATTAGAACTGTGTAAGTTTGTACTCTTTTGGTTAGCAGTGCAACATACACAGAACATTTTACTGATGCTTCCTTCAAGAAGCAGCTGTAGCTGCAGAAACACAGACACAGAGAAAGGGAGATACAAGACGCCACAGAAGAACAAGGTTGATCAGAAAGCTGTCGACTCATAAATCCTGTGAAAAATCATAGCTGCTTCTTAGTTCAAAACCTCATGCATGCTTCATTTGCTCTCACAAATGGAACACATCCCCACAAACTGATGTTCTAGAGTTCTTGCAAAGAATCTGATTAAATACCTCGTACATTTTAAATAAATACAGTATCAACAAGGAAGAGAAAGACCCATATCAATATGGCCTGACACAGGAGTTTAACAATGGGCTCAAACACAACGATTGTGAAGACAGGCCAGGAACAGGCAGTGTTTCTTTCTGTAGCTAGGAATCTGATTCAACTCAATGGCACCTAGCAACAACAATATTTATAATTCAATTCTGTAGTGGTCAGAGACCATGCTCTTTAATGTTCCTATATTTTAAAATTTTTAAGAATTACGTTTTGATTCAGTATATATTCCATCTTGGTAAACACATCATGTGTGCACTTTAAAGTCTGCAGATTAGTCAGATGCTAACTGTATTACTGCTCTACAATCAATCATTTTGGTTGATAATGTTCAAATGTCTTGCCTGAGTGTTTCATCAATTATTGAAAGAATCTCCACTGTTGATTACAGACCATTTATTTTCTCCTGTAGGAACATAAGTTTGGTTCATGTAGTCTGAGTCTCTATTATTGGATGTGGACACATCTATCATTGGTATATGTATTGGGTTCCTTGGACTGCTATACCAAAATAGTCTTAAGTGAGTAGTTTGTAAGGACATGAGCATATTGTTTAACAGTTCTGGAAGCTGGGGATCAGCTGGATTGATTCTCTCTGAGGGTTCTGAGAGAGGAACTGTTCCATGACTCTTTCCTAACTTCTCATAGCTTCAATCATTCCTCATCTTACAGCTGCCTCATCAAAGATGTCCTTCCATTGTATCTCCAGGTCTCCATGTATTTTCTCTCTTTTTAAAGAAAGCTATTCATACAGGATTAGTATTCACTCTGTTCTAGCAAAAGGAGCCTTGGTGCCAAGCAGAAAACCAAGATGTCGGCAATTCATACCCATTGTTGTTGCTGTTGTTATGTGACATCAAGTCGCTTGTGACTCATAGCGCCCCTATGTACAACAGCCCGAAACTCTGCTCTGTCCTGTGCCAATCGCACTGTCTCCGACACACCCATCCTGATTACCCCAGTCACTGAAGCAATCCGCCTCATAGAGGGCCTTCTCCTCCTGTGCTGTCCCTCCACCCTACCAAGCATGATGTCCTTTTCCAAGGACCAGTCTCTCCTCACAACATATCCAAAGTACGTTAGACAGAGTCTCAGAATCCTTGCCTCCAGAGAGCTGCCCAGCTTAAC